TCAGTCCCTCCCTCCCTCTTAGTTTGCGGGATGGGGCTATTTGAAAATAAATTGCAGACCTGATGATGCATCTCCTTTAAATATTTCCATTTGTATGTCAGAGAATCAGGGCATTTTTCATAGTACCACAGCATCATTATTATTCCCAAGAAAACTAATGATGAACAGTCATTCACAGTATCATTTAATGTCCAGTTGTGGGAAGATTTTCTGTCAGGAAGTTGATAAAGCACAGTGACCACCATGTGAGCGTGGCTAGTGGGGCTGGTGGATCCCCTTTAGGAATCCTACGAGAGCCTGCACAGGAAACCTGGGCTCAGGTAATGTCGGGTAATGAGGGCTGTTCTGAGGTCACCACGGGCTTCCCATAGAGCATGTTGTGGAGTTCTGTGCGAGTGAGGGTCTCCAGGAGGAGGCGCCAGCCCCAAGGCTGAGTGTGGCTGAATGAACTGATCTGCCGGAAGCAGAGAGGGGTATCACAGAGGTGGGAGAATTCCTTCAACAGATAGATCCTGAGTTTCTACTGGGAGGCGTAATTTTATGTGTCAAGTTGATTGGGCTGTATGGTACCCAGATATTTGGTCAAAGCTTCAGGGTGTTTTTGTGAGGGCGTTTTTGGATTTAAATTGGTAGACTGAGTCAAGCAGATTGCCCTCCTTAATGTGGGTGGGCTTCATTCAGTCCCTTAAAGGCCTGACTGGAAAGATAAGCCTGAGCCTTGCCTGAGTGAGAGAGAATTCTGTTCCTTTGAACTGGGACACAGGCTTCGTATTAGAACCCAGACATTGGCTCAGCAGATTTTGGACTTGCCAGCCTGCGTGACTATGTGAGCAGATTCCTTATAATAAGTCACACACCCCATGCACGCGCACATGCACACACATACACACACACACATATTCTTTGGTTTTATTTCCTGGACAACCCTAGCACATCTGTTCCATGCCAGGCAATGTGTTCCAGTGCTGAGACCATTCAGGAAAACAGCATGGGCTGTCGTGTGTGTGCCCCTTACAGCTCAGATTGCCTGGACTTGGCTTGAGTGCTGAGAGGTGCAGATGAGAGGTTGGCAAGGGCCAGGTCCAAAAGGATCCTAGAGGCCATGGAAGAGGATCTGGATTTTAGCTTTCTAAACTTCAGTGTCACTTTCATGCTTTCTGTCACATACACATTTGAATTGTGTTATTAGCTTGGTATGTTTTAAAGAATCAATTTTATGCTCCTTTAAAAACAACTTTTATGTCATAATACCTATTAAGTATTAGGATATTTTCTTATAATGTGGAACTAAACATAGAGTCATTACAATAAAAAGATGTTGGTCCATAAACTGCTTAAAGTAGTTTCAGGTATTTGTCCCACATTTTGGGAAAAGTTACCATGAATGCTGAGGAATAGGGTGGATATTAGGGGTTTTAGGGAGGGACAGGATACTCTGAGATTTAAGTTTCAAAGTCACTCTGGGTGTTGGGTGGAGAATAGATAGGAAGGAAATGGATTGGAAGGCAGGGCAACCAACTTAGGGACCATTGGAATTGAGATACGATAAGAATTTGAACCAAGGTGGGGGCTAAATTTGACAGAACCTAGAGGTAGAATTTGATAGGACTTAGAAACCAGTAGCTTGGGATTGAGGGGGAAGGAGGACTTGGGTTGACTTTGATGATTTTAGCTTGGTTGCCTGGGTGATGGAGGTGTCATCACAGAGACAGGGAGCGGGAGTGGGTGGTAAGTCAAGTCCACACAGCAGGAAGAGGAAAGCAAGCATTTCCAGGGCCACAGGGCTGGACTATACCTTCAGCAATGATACTGTGAAGTTCACTGGCCCTTAAATAATAGCAAACCCACACTTTAAATTAAATTAAAACATTTTTAGTTTAGCTCTTTTAAGTGGACCCACACATGTATTCTCTACTAGTTATTACTGGGAATGACTAAGTATTATAATTGAGTTGAAAATAATCTACCGCCCATACTGGCTGGGTTGGTTACTAAGTACTGCTTGGGTTTTAAAGTAATGAAACAAAGTTATGCTCTCTCCAAATGTTAATTTTGAAGGCTGCAGATGGTAACCATCTGTTATCTGACTAGCATTTTACAATATTTGATTAGCACATTATATAGTTTGGGGAAGCCTGCCAGGGGAGACAGCCCATTGTGTTGGGGACTTTGTGGGGTATAAACTTTGTGGTTGCCCTCGAGGGTCTTGACCAACACTGTGTGGGGTTCCCCTCTCTCAGGCCAAAGCATGGCGAGTCAGACTGGCCAGTTGATGGTTTCATGGCAGGAGGAATTTGAGTCTTACGTTTAGACGCTTCCTTACATTACATGAAAGCAGAATTGGAAGGTCAGGATCTGTCTATCATTTAGGACTCTGATGGGACAACAAACCCAACCTGCTTTGGCTAAGGGGGATGGTGTGGCTCAAATCATTGAGAGGTATAAGGCTAGGGCTTCCTTCAGGTGGATGTTTTTGGCTCAGATGAGGTCTTGGGATTTTCATTTCTCTCAGGTCTCAGCCTTGCCTTCTGCTATGATGCTGGTTCCAGAGGAAGCATGTTGGCTTCCCTGAGAGAGTTAAGTCCTCTCAACATGAAGTCTAGTGGGAAAGAGCTGGAGTTCTTTCCAGTTCCTCCTGCAGAAGTGTTGAGATGCACTCTGATTGGACCAGCTTCCAGCATGTACACACCTGTGGACCAATCCCTGGGCTCATATGGATGCAGGACTCTGATTGGTCAGACAGGCTGAGCCATGGGGAGGGGTGCAACTTGAGTTGCACATAGGGGCTCTTACCGCAAGGGAGAGTGTGTGTGGCAGGCGACCACCTGTGTGCTCCACTGTCAGAGCCAAAGCCCAGAGAACCAGGAGGAATTGGCTAACTTGGCTGTGAAGACAGACATTTACTGCTGGGAAGATAATATGCTAGAAATGGAACGAAGGAGCCACAGAACCCAGCCTCTTAAGTTTCCTTCCTCAGTGTCAGAGCATCTGATAGATTTGGTATCTGGTTCTCTCTCGGGGTTGGGGGTGGAGTAGGGTTGTCTTTCTCTTTTTTATATTGCTTTAAAACTCTGCTGTTCTTTTAATCTCTGTCTTTTAGCTCCTTCATCTCGAAGGTAGGGAGCCGCTCTCTCAGAGAAATCTGCACAGAGGAGATAGTGGATTCGTGCTATTCACTTTAACCGAAGTGTGTGAAGCCTGCTTCAGGCCAGGCCCTGTGCTGGGGCCTGGGCTCTTACCCTGGGGGGGAGCCAGCAGCACCCTAGTGGCCCAGTTTCTGGCTGTGGAAGTGTGTTGCTCACGAACAGGGTGCTTCAGCCCGCTGGAGGACAGTGATTCCCCTGTCCCCAGGGAGGGACAGTCAAGAAGGGATTCCTGGAGGAGAAACACTGAGCTGGACCTGGAGGGGGAGCAAGGTTCCACATGTGGAGATGGGGCAGGAGTGCCTTGCTCAGGGAGCTGCATGCGCAAACGTACTGAGAGGTGACATTCGTGATGGTTTGGGGACCTGGGAGAAGTCCTGGGATCTGTGGCTGAGCAGCATGTACCGTGACGCTGGTTCCCACGCTCACTCAGTGTCAGTGTGGAGTGGCAAGCGGGAGGCAGGGACACCTGGCCAGGTGTTAGAGGTTCCCGTGGGAGCCTGTGGGGCAGTGAGCACAGAGGGGGCACTGTTATGAGCTGGGGGGCACTGAATGAAAATTCAACAGGTCCTCAATCTAGAACCTACCACTTGAAAACATCTGTACTTCATAATTTGCTTCCAAAAAAGTTCAAGCTCGAGTGAGTTCTTTGGAGAGGGTGTGTATACTACAGAAGTTAAAAATAAGGGCTACAGCAGAAAGGATTTTGGCTGTCTGCACTACAAAGAAATAAGAGATGTTTAAGGGGTAGTGTATTTAACCTGATTGAAACATTACGCATGTCCACATGCTTTGAAATATCATGTGATACTCCATAAAAATGTATACTTTTGTGTTTTATGTATTAAATTTAAATTTCAAAAGAGAAAAAAAAAAGAGTTCCATGGGTAGAATAGAGAGTCTGGTATATTCTTCCATTTATATAAAACTCTAGAAAATGCAGATGAACCTGTAGTGACAGAAAGCAGATTGGGGGTTCTTGGAGAGTAGGGAGGGCAGATGGAAGGGTTTGCAAAGAGGCGGGGGAGAGCTTGGGCTGTGTCCACTCCTGGTGATGGTGATGGCTTCTCTGTGTGTACATATGTCAGAACTTACCCAGTGGTCATTGGTTGTATGTTAACACCTCAGTAAAGCTGATTTTTTTTCAAGTGGGTTCAAATCTCAGCTCTGCCTTTATCAGCTGTATGGTCTTGGGCAAGTTTCCAAACCTCTCTGGTTTTAGTTTTCTTATGTATGCAATAACTACATGGAAAGTGATACACCAAGTAAGTGCTCATTGTTACTGTTTTTTTTCTTTTCTTTTTTTTTTTTTTTTTGGTGCGGGGGATCAAACTCAGGATCTTGCACTTGCAAGGCAGGTGTGGTGGCACTGAGCTAAGTCCCCACCCCATTGTTACTGTTAATAACAATAAAATGAAATCAGGTACAGGCTATGGCCTCACCATAGTGACTCCATGTGTTATCTGCTTCTTTATGCAGAGCCCCTGCGAATCATGTTTCTCATAGTTTAACATGCATACACACATACCTGGTAGACACACGGTTAACACACACTTTGGTCTAGGAGGTCTGCTTGGGACCTGGGACCCTGCATTTCTGAGAAGCTCCTGGGTAGTGCTGATGCTGTGTACCCCCCTCCATACTCGCTCTTGGTTTTTGCAGGTCTGCTCTGGGTTGAGCATGTCACCAGGGCTGAATGCACAGCCCTGACCCAGGGTTTGGACTCCAGGGGTGGTGGCCATGAGGAGGAGCCGGCCTCCACACGTGAGCCATCCTGTTCACAGAGGGCTGGGAACTGGAGGTCAGGACTGAGTGTAGAACTTGGCTTGATGCCTGAGACTTGATGCTGTTTTCCAGGACAGAGGTCTTGCTGATGGCCCCACTGCCAGGGGCAGAGCTGGTCCAGAGGCCGCTGCAGCTCTACAGATACTTGCTGCGCTGCTGCCGGCAGCTGCCCACCAAGGGCATCCAGGAGCACTACAGACATGCTGTCAGGCAGGTGGGAGCAGGGTACACGGGCTCTGGGGGTAAGGGCCCCTCTAATGGGATCCTAGTGGGGAGAGGCCAAGGGCCAGGGTAAAGGATAATCTTTGAGATGGAGGAGGGGGTGGCAGTTTGGCACGAGGCACCAGAGATTGATGCTGGGACGCCCAGCTCCTCTCTCTGGCTTCTGTCCGGGAGTATCATTTCAGCACAGCAGCACTGTGCCAGGGCATGAACAAGGCAGCTTGGCAATAATTACAGTACACAATAGGACACGCATCATTTTGCCAACATTGCACAGCCTGAATTTAATCGTGATAAAACATCAGGATTAAAAACTGGGGGACCATCCACCAGGTAACGTCCTGACCTATACCCGACGTAACTGTCAGCTTCACAAGACACAAAGGAAGCCAGAGATACTCTGGATTAAGGGGACTAACAAGATGTGACAACTAAATGTAATACATCATCTCAGATTGGATCCTGGGCCAGAAAAATATAATTGCTCTAAGGGGCATTTTTGGGGGCAGTGCATAAGCTGGAACACGGGCTGTAGATGAGATAAGTATTGTGTCAATATTACATTTTCTGAATTTGGTTATTGCGGTTCTATAAGAGAATGCTCTCATTGTTAGGAAACACATATTGAAGTGTGTAGGGGTTAAGGGCAGCATAACTGCCACCTACTCTGAAATGCTTCTAAAAAGAGCTGACACGTACACATACAAAGAGAGAATGGTAAAGTGAATGTGGCAAGACATTCAGATCGGTGATGCTCGTAGGGAGTTCTTTGTACTTTTGTAATTTTTCTGTGAGCAATCATTTCTAAATATAAAAGAATAACTAAACTCATACAAACAAAATACAGAAAGTAAAAGGAAAAAAGAGCAACAGAAAGCTGTGGGAACACAGAAAAGGGAGACATTAGCCATCTGGGGAGTTGGGAAGGGCTACCCCAGGGTGGGAATTTGAGGTGGCATCTGAAGATGAGCAGGGGACTTGTGGGGTTGGGAATGATAAGGAGAGGGAGGCGCCAGTTCTTTCTGAAGGCCCCTGAGCACCCCACTGATGAACCTAAATCTCAGGCTGCCAGCGGCCATCTGCCTTACATTGGGCCTGGAGGATTTCCCAAAGCCGTGGCCTCCCCTCCCTCCCCTGCTCGCCTTTTGTAGCACTGAGGTAGGAGAAACCCCATCCCTCCTGTGGTGAAGCCCATGCAGAGATCTCACTAAGATGAAAGCAGCTTCCCATGAGGAGCAAATTAGATGGAGAGAAGGAAATTTCCCTTGGGCCCTGATAACTTGCCTGATAAGCTCTGGGCCCTGGGGCCGGTCCTCCTTTTCATCAGCCCTGCTGGCAGGATTGCCAGCTTTGTGGTAAAATGGACTAGGGTTCAGATCTTGTTGCTTAGCAGCAAGTTAGGATTTCTAAGCCTCTGTTTCTTCACCTCTAAATGTGATCATCCATCGTAGTCTTGGAGGTTAAGAGGAGCTGAGTAGAAAGTGCTCAGCACTTTGTCCTAGGATTGGTGGATTGAAGCTGCTGACTCTTTGGATTTTTCCCAGTCATCTTTATCTTTTACAGAGTTTCCGGGTTCATTCAGATGAAGACAACCCTGAGAGAATCCAGCAGATTATTAAAAGAGCCATCGAGGATGCGGACTGGATCATGAACAAAGTAAGCGTCTCCACCAGTAGGGGTATGTGTGTGAGGGGGATGATGGTGTACTCTCTGTGGCCACTAGGGGTCACCCCTGCCTCACACTTGAAAAGGGACTGTACAGAGGTGGGTCTTCCCCACCTCCTCCCTGCTCCTCTCTTTCAAAGCCGAGGGTGGTCCCTTCTGGTTGCAGGATGGGGCTCCTGGACACTCTTAAGGACAGATTTCTGCCTAATAGTATGAATAAGCTGGACACAGGAAGAAGGAAGAGAGCAGTCTTCTTGGAAGCTAAGTGCCAGAGCTGGCGGAAGCATCGTGATGCTTCCAAGAGGGAGACTTCTTGGGGGAGAGAGCTCCCTGTCTCTTGGGGGTTCACACCGAGCCTGGGCTATCTAGGAAACATTCAAGGGGCTGTTTGGGTGGAGCAAGGGGGTGAGCTCGGAATGAGATTGGTATCGGAGTGACCTAGAGAAATGGCATAGTCCCCATCCTTCTAAATCCGAATCTCCAGATGTGGAGTTCAAGACCCATTTTTTAATTAACTCAGCAATTAGCTGAGGATTCTTCTCTGGCTTCTAAGGGTCCTCCTCTGCCTGAGATTTTTTCCCCCCAGAAACCAGAGAAGAACCCTCAGCTAGAGAGTAGTACAGATGACCACAATGTTCAGTTCTAATATTGTAAGTTTCTTTATTGTCCTCCCACCCCGAGCCTCCTCTGTCCTCCTCCATTAAGGAAGAAAGAGGGTCCAGGATGCACCTAGAGATCTGCCCACCTAGTGACTCCTGTCTGTCACCACCCCTGAGAAACTCCTGCAGGAAGTGGAGGCCCAGGGGACTGGGTTCCAGATTAAAGCCTCCCTTCCCACTGGCTTCCCTCACCCACTTCTTACCTCTCCGTCTTGCAGTATAAAAAACAAAACTGAGCACCCAGAGCCCAAAGGAAAGCCGTGTTAGAGACATCTGGGGCTTCTTCTCTTCTGGAACTAAGCAACAGCAGCAGCAGCAGCAGTAGTTTTGGAATATTCCCTGGCCCTGCTGGCAGAGCGATCAAGAAAATTTAGGCAGGAGAAGTTGACATTTGTTCAGACAGCTCTTGCTTTCGCAGTCATGTTTCCAGCATGCTTTATGTTTGCTTTGCCTGCCAGAAATGATGTACAAGTTGGGGACAATGTGGTGTTTTTTTGTGTTTTCTCTGTGTTTTTCATTTTTGTGTTTTTGATGTTTTACATTGCTCTGAAACTGATCCATTTGTTCTGGAGGTCTCTTTACCAGTCTCTGAGCCCCAAAGAAGAGGTCCCCGTAAGTGGCCACCTGTACAGAGGGAAGAGAGTGGGCTTTAAATCCAGACAGCTCTGGATTTGAATCCCAGCTTTATGACTTTTCTAGGCTATTGCCTTTGAGCTCGGTGTCCTCCTCAGTGAGGAGGAAATAAAATGAAGTTGAAGTGCCTAACACAGGATATGGGACATGGCAGCCAGCATCCCTCTGAGGAAGCCGTCCCTCGAGGCCCCTCCTGCTCCCACAGTGCACCTCTGCTGTAGCGCATACGGTGTCAGTCTCTGTGATTTGTTCATGAGCTCCTCCTGTCCCAGCTTGGAACCCCAGATCCCTCCAAGTTGTGTCATGCCCAGCAGTCCGCCAAGGAACTGCTTTCCTGGGTCCTGTCCCTCCATGCTCAGGAAGTAGAAGCCCTGGTCCTTGCCTTCAAGGAATTGCCAGGGTCTTTGAGGCAGTGACATGCACATTAGGCGAAACTAGGAAGAATCCCCAAGCAGCTGTGACAGACACTGGCAAGTCCAGGCTTCTGTGAACTTGCGACCTGTCTTTGTGGGCCCTTCCCTGCTTTGCCACCATCATGGCAGGATGGACAGCAGGGAGAGAGGGGATAGGTCCAGGGAGAGTAGTGAGAGCTGGCCGAGCAGCCAGAAGATGCAGAGAATCCTCACAGGAACCTGAGTGTTCCCTGGGGGCACTCAGCCCGAGGGATGTGCTAGCGCATGTGAGTCTCCCTGCAATTAATGTAACTTACAGCGTCATCCGTATGTGTACAACTGATTAACATATAAGTGAAGTAAATACATTGCTTTGTGAAAGTTCTTGTCTCTTCTCAATGGATATTCCCCAAACATGGATCATGCCCCTACTGTGTGCTGTCACACTGAGTGCTGAGGACTTAGATAAGTCAGACTGAGCTATGCAGAGGAATCATGCTTCAGAGGTGTCCCTGAAGCACAGAGGGGGATCAGGAAGGTCCTCAGAGATGACCGGAACCCCCTCAACTGGGGGACTCAGCAGTTGGCAGAGATGCATCATTTTCAAAGGAGTGGGTGGCCCTACCCCAGGCCTTTCACCAGGAGGAGAGAGAGTGAAGGTGACCAGGGCTTTGGAGAGAGTTGATGTCCCTTGCTCTCGACCAGCCCTGCAGGGGCTCCCTGGCCTTCACATCACCGGTAGGAGCATGATCCAGGTGCTGACTTACCCAGGTATCAGACAAGGGGTGCCCAGCTCTGGCGAAAGGCTAGTCAGTGAGGGAACCCACAAGAGCTTGGGTTGGTTAACTGTTTTGGCTGCTCTCTGCCAGTCAGAGAGGACAGTGAGCCTGCTTACTGGAAACTACCTGGGAACTGCAGGTGCTGGCCTCTGCCCTCAGCCTTTCTCCACCTGCCCTGCATGGAGCCCGTGCATATGCAGGTCTTACATCGCCCTCAGCCACAGCTCTTAAGTGCATGAAGTTGAAGACTTCCAGTTGCCTCCCAGCAAAGAGAAGAAGATGAATGCTTTTGACTCAGAGGCAGTGTGGTCTGATAAGAGTGGGCTCTGGAGCCACATTCAAATTTAAGTCCCAGCTCTGTCACTTAGTAGTGGTGTGATTTGGGGCATGTTTGTTAACCTGACAACCTTACCTTTCATATTGCAACAGGCTGTACGTCCCTTGGGACAGTGAGATTAAGGCAGTGCACCGGAATGTCAGTCAGCCGTGTGACTGCCTTCTCTTGTCTTTGGTTTACAAACTTTTATTTTAAATGGGTCCCTGTCCTCTGATGCCTGCTGTGCCACCAGCACAGTGCCGGCAGGAAAGGATCTGTCTGATCCTTACTTGCATTCACCTTGCCTTCCTGGGGTGCATTTGTATTAGGAAGTTTGTGCATTAGAGCAACTGCCCTTGAAGGATTCTCAGGCCCCTTTGAGAGACCCTGCCACATCTGGGGGCTATTCTGGGGGCAACTTTGATTTTTGGTCTTGTCCCAGAACATGCTCCCAGGACCAACCTGCCTGCCTGACTGTCTCATTCCCACCCTGTTTCAACTGAGCACCTGCTCTCCACACAGCCCTTCCTCTGGGCAGGAAAAAACCACAGTGAAGGGAGGTAAAAAACAAACCTGAGAGGCTGAGCTAACATGGTTCTTAGGAAGTTATAATGCAGATTTATTTTTTCTCCCATTCTTTTTTTTTAAGTACAGAATAGCTTTATTTAAATTTTTATTTTTATTAGCACATTTTCAGTACACGATTACATTTATCACGGGGCATTGTGCATGTGCTTAACACATTTTCCTTCTCTAGTACAGAATAGCTAGGAATCATAAGTGAGATTAAATACTCCTTTCTTCAAACATTTCCTAGGCTTTTTGAGAATTTACTCAGTTCCATAACCCACATATTGTGTGTTAGAAGTATCATGCTCTGCTTAAATTTGTAAACTTTTCTTTACTGAAAGCCACCATACCTAATTATTGAAAGTAGGAAATTATGGTCAGATTATTATGAATTTATCTGTTTTGTTATTTGTCTATAGTTTTGCCTATTTATTTTATTTTGGCTCTCTCTGTTACATTTTTGTTTTATTTAATATCTTTTGACTACTCCCAGTTTTTGGTGTCTGTATACACATGGGTGCACCCACACTCTTTGCTGACACATTTTAATTTATTTTGGTAAAAGAATTTCCCTTAATAATCCCGCAACAAAATTTTGAAATAGTTATTGTCAGATGATCTCTAAAGACGCCGCCAGCTTCGCATTACACACATTAATCCTTTCTTTTCACTTCCAGCTGATCTTCACACTCTTTGTCATGGTTTTTGTACTTTCATCTGTGAAGGTTCTTCAAGTGGATATTTCTGCAGGGAGAATGAGTGCGGCAAAGCGCTCTTCTGCCATCTTGCTGACATCCTTCTCGTTGGTCATTCCTTGGAAAGGCCATGGAAAGGCCCTGTTCCAAGTTGCAGTACCAAACTAAGTTGGGAAATGAAAACCCCTCCATCCGGTAAGCTCAAAGGGAACTCCTTGAAGTAGAACTAAAGGCCCCACTCTCCTTCCCTTCAGAGTCTCACAAACTTTAATCTCTGACCAAACTATATGTTTGTTTCCCTTGAATATACTGGTATGTGTCTTAACACAGAATTACGACCAGTATAGGGCGTAAAGTTCCTGCCTGTTGTGCTCATTATTCTTATATCTGAAAGTATTATTGTAGTGATGTGCACAGTGTATTTAATTAATTCAATTTTATATCCACAGGTACATATTCAGTATGAGGTCCCATGCCAGATACTGGAGATTCTTTCTCTTGCTCACACTTCCCCCTTCTCCCTCATCTCTCCCCTGTTCTCCTCTCCCCCCCTCCCCAACTGAACTGAAGGTCTTTGAGCTGAGGTACATTCCAGCCCTTTTCTATTTTTTATTGTGAGACAGGGTCTCAATAAGTCAATAAATTGGCCAGGCAGGGCCCAAACTTGTGCTCCTTCTGCCTCAGCCTCCTAGAGTGCTGGGATAATAGGCATTTGCAGTCATACTTGGCATATGTTTTTCTCTTTTTATATTTTTTCAATCTCACTAGATAATCTCATCCATATCATAGTGTGAGACCAAAGTGACTCCATTTTGCTAAAATGCACCACTCCCCTAGTCTCTCACAAGTTAATGGTTAAAATGTGCTTGCTTTGGGACAAAAGATGCAATCTGTAACAAACCAAAGTTCCTAAGTTAATTACTCAGCCATCTGTTTGCCCAGAAAATAAATGTTCTGGACCCACTATCCATAGAACAATCTGTAGATGTACTGACTGTCAGTACGTAATGGTCGTGACTAATAGTCAGTGTGTCTGCTGACCATCAGTATGTGACAGTCGGCCACTAACTTTTGTCCCTCTTTTCCCTCATAAAACCTACATGTAGCCACCCCTCAACCCCTGATGCACCTGGCCAATCAAAAATATACACTTCATGCTTGCTAATTGTCAACCAATCATATAACTGCTAAATAAAAAAATCTCCAAACCTTGTTATAACCTCTATAAAAACCCCACTAATTTAAAATTTGGGGCTCTCAATTCTGATCCACTGCATCGGTGATGGTTGAGAGCCCCTGCTCGAGCTTAAATAAACGACCCTCATGCGTTTACATCAAAATCGGCTCCTTGGTGGTCTTTAGAGAATTCGCGATCTAGACACAACATTTGGGGGCTCGTCCGGATCCCCAAAACCCCAGGATCCCCGTACTGGAGGGTCAACACTGGCCGGTGAGTGTCTGATGTCTCTTTGTTTGTCTGTAATTCGGGGGCCCAATTTCTGGTTAGGTCAGCAGACGGTCTAGGCGGACGCGCTGCGAGGGCCGCCGACCCGGGATCCTGGAAGACGTTCCGGATCCTTCTAGAGGGGACAGAGTGCCCCATGGGTATGAGTCTGACTCCTGGAGGGACGGTGCGGGTTGCTCCTGCGGTACGGCATGAGGCCATCATCCCATTTCTGGTACTGCCTCCGATCGGGCAGAGGCCAGTTTTGTCTTGTTTTTTGTTTTTTTTGTTGTGTTTGTTTGTCTGTTTATTGTGGTGACTTGGACTGAGATGATGGGACAGGCTGTGACTACCCCTCTATCCCTCATGAGAAACCATTTTAAAAAAAGGTTAGAGAGCGCGCTCATAACTTAAGTTTAGAAATTAAAAAGACTAAATTCATCACCCTTTTTAACTCGGAATGGCCCGCCTTTGGAGTAGGTTGGCCACCCGAGGGGACCTTTGATCTAAGGACCACAAAGAGAGTCCAAGAGGTCGTCTTCCGTTCTCTTAGGTGACACCCTGATCAAGTTCCCTATACTGTCACTTGAGAAAGTCTAATCTGCGACCCACCCCCATGGGTCAAGCCCTTTGTGCCTCCACAGAAACAACAGCCAGAGGTAATCCTGACAGCCTGTGAGAAGACTCCCAGAGGGCGCGACAGCAAAAGACAAACCAAAACCAAGCCGACTGCACCGCTTTACCTGGTCCTCCAAGGAGGGACCGAGGAAGATCTCATTTTTCCTCCCCCTTACTCTCTCTCTTCTTCCCCATGGCAACAGGCAAAAAGAAATGACCCAGCCCCAGCTGGAGGTGGGGAAGGAGGGCCGGCCCCGGGTGCCGGCAACCATAATGGCCCTGCCCAGAATACTCGCCACCGGCGTGCCATCTCACTGGCAGGCCCGGC